AATTGAGTGGGTTGAGAAAGTTAGGATTTTCGTGTGTTGTGAGTTCGAAAAGATGAAGAAAAAAGATTCACAAAAATTGATGTGACAGTGGGTTCACTGGGTTGGGAGGGAATGACTCCCTCCTCCCTAATAAAACATTATAATTAATAAATTAATACTGAAAATATGAAATAAAATATATATTAAAGTTACATGGTTTGACGGGTTGAAAACATGTTGATAATTTTTACCTAATTCAACCTATTTAATTAAATTGGTTAGACAAATTGACTCATTTAACTTAAATGGACTGAAAATCTCAACTCAGCCTATTAATTTTGATTGATTTCAGGTTGAATCGATAGATTGATCAATTTTTGCAACTCTATTTTTACTTTTGACCTCACGAAATGGGAATACTGCTATTTGTGGATTTCTTAATTTCTCTCCTATATGGTTAAAGTGTAAATCTTTAAGGAAAAAGTGTTTTTGTATAGATATATGTTTTTATTAATTATTAATAATAAAGAAAAAGTATATGGATTTAATAATAACTTCAGTGGAGTTTAGACTTTTATCTAGATTATAATCAAGTCATGTGCAATTTGAAACTGACAAATATCAATATTGTACTTCATGTAATGATAACTTAATCCTTTTCTACAAACTTATTTCAAGAACATGACACATGAATATATCACTATATCACCGATTGATTTATGAATATACTGCCTAAATCAGTTCTATGCATATGTATTTGTCAAGTTCTTGAAAATTGAAACTACGTGTAAGATATTTGCACAATAATTTGTAATTTTTTCCTAAATAAGTAAAAGTATTCCCGTGGTAATCATCAATAACGTTAGGTCTTACTTAATTGATAGTGAATCAAATTGACTAATGCATTGATTGATATCCAACTAGGTTGTTCCTTTTCTTTTTCTTTTTCTTTCTCCCCATCAAATAAAAAATAAAGTATTTGTTCCTGTTTTGCTCCGCCTTGCGGCTTGCTAGGTGTGGGTGGTGTGTGTGTTTTTTCTAATGCATTGGCTGTTTAAAAAAAAACAAAAACAAAAACAAATCAAATAAAGTATTTAATGATTAATGAATAATGACATTTATTCGGATAAAGTGGTGTAAAAGTAAAGTAAGTTTTTTTGTCCCGAGTGAATAAAATGTATGAAATGATACTAAATGATATTTTACCTTACATTTCAAAAAATAAATTTCATAATATTTATTAATTTTAATATAAAAATAGTTGAGTGGAACAAAGAAAGAATAACAAATATATAAAAGGTTAATGTCTTATTACATTAAGTTAGATTTTAACTCATCAAGCTATTATCTTCTAAGAAAATAAAAATAATAATAATAAAATAAAAAAACAAACAGTCGTATATAATTTGTTTAGGGGTGTCTGGGATTGTTTTTCAAAACAATTTATTGACTTATTGGTTTTTGCTAAGCCAATAAATCAAACAAATGTTTAGCAAGCTTAGGTGAGCTGGTATGGGCACCACGACCATGGTCGTGGTTTCCTTCCACCTCAAGAAGTAACGCCACCAAAAACCACCACATCTGGTGTTGATATACTCCCCATTGAAGAAGAGGAAAAAAAATAAGAGAGAATAAGAAGTTGCGGGAGAGAAGAAGAATGACAATTGGTTGTTGTCAAATGTGGTGGTGACCACAATCCACCACACAACGACGTGTGCAACGGTCGTGGTAGCCTGCCATCGTGACCATGAACCTCTGTTAAGACAAGTATTCTGGAAGGCCTTAAAAATGTTTTTTGAAAACAACTTTTTAATACCATAAAAAATGAGTTTTTAAGAAATAGTTTATTTATGACTTATTGAACGTGTGATTTTTTGAGATAAATGTCAATACTACCCTTAATGAACTATCTCGTTCTGTTTTTTCTTCCTCCCCATTTTCATGTTATTTTTGGTCATTTTATAATTATAAAACTTTTTGTTATCACAAAAATAATCGGAACATTTTTTTAAAAACTTGTTTTGTCGTAATATATTTAATTTAAGAAGCAATCCCAATCACCATGAATTAAATGCTTAAATTATTAAAGCCTTTTAACTAAAAATGGAAACAACGGATATGTTCCACTAGTAGCTAATGAATTCTTGACATCACACATGATCTAATCAATTTAAATATAAGGGGTATAGGTAGAAAAGGACAACTAATTATACATGTATATATAAAAAAACATTTATATTAATAGTTACCATTTGAAAAAGACTAAAATATGGGGCTCTTAAGAGAAATTGACAACTATAAATCTGATGTTGCTTACATTTTTGTTTTTTACTAAGACATTGATATTAATTATGATAGAAACAATTAGTAAAGGAGGAAAAAATCAATCGTATAAATCTATATGGAGAACACAATCAAACAAAAGTAATCAAAATAAATGTAGGTTTTGATATGTTTTTACATACAATCAATAAAATATAAGGGATACGTATGTTATATCATATTTTTAGTTGATTATTTCTCTTAAAATTTTACAATATGGTTTTATTTGAAACGTAAATAATAATATTAAAGGTTTTTTTAAACATAAAAATAATATAAAGGTTTTTATCTATTCATGTATAATTGGTTGTGTATTTATGCATATATCCCATAGAAGAATCCATACCCTTTTGATTTTTTTTTCAAAATATAAGATATATATATTTAATGCATAAGTTCTATTTTACAAACTTTTTTTTATAACATAACAATTGGATATAAGTTTTTTTTGAAGTAGAGTACTTTTTATCATTTAATATCTATCAAAATATAAGTATATAACTATTAGAGCTTCTCGAACCACATAAATGTCAAATATAAAAGTCTAAAATTCATCATTTTAAAGATTGATTGGAATTCAGATACTATTTCGATGTTAAACAATGATGTGTGTTTAACATCAAAATAATATTTAAATTTCAATCAACCTTTAAAATGTTGGATTCTAATCATATTATTTCATATATAATGTTAAAATGGAACAACATAAAAATAAAGATGATTTTGAAGAACGGTTGGATTGAAATTGGCATGCAAATCATAAAAGTAAAAAGGGTTTAGAGGTCGGTTGGATATGGCCTTAAACTATATATGCAAATCATAAAAGTAAAAGGGGTTTAGAGGTCGGTTGGAAATGGCCTTAATATATATATATATTATATATATATATTATATATATATATATATATATATATATATATATATTATAGGGCTAGGTTATAATGTGGATGGTCAACTATTGTACGGACGTGTGGACAGTGTTATTCTATGAGAATTACTAAGAGAATATGTTGTTTAGTAACGTGAATACGTTTAACCTTACACAACTATTGTAATTTTCATGCATTCTCACTAATTCTTTTAAAGATTGATTGGAATTCTAGAAGTACCTTATCATCGGGATGTTACAAGATGGAACACTTGACCGCTATAAAGCACGACTTCTGGTCAATGGGAAATCACAAACAATAGGTGTTGACTGTTTAGAACATTCAATCCTGTCGTAAAGCGAGCTACTATACGCACTGTTCTTAGTCTCGCAGTCTCACAGGGTTGGTTGATACATCAGTTAGACGTCAAAAACGCATTTCTCCATGGCAATCTCCATAAGACGGTTTTTATGTACCAGCCCCCTGGTTTTATTGATAGCAAATCAGGGTTGCCATCTCCAGAAATCTTTGTATGGACTTAAACAGGCTCTGCGTGCTTGGTACACTCGTTTTGCTTCGTTCATTACTTCTTGGGGTTTCAGGAGTAGCATTTGTGATTCTTCGTTATTTGTTTACCAACACGGTTGTCATCGTGCTTATTTATTACTGTACGTCGATGACATAATTTTCATAGCTTCTGACCCTGACGTTCTTCGCAACATTATCACTTCTTTGTCTCAGGAATTTGCTATGACTGATCTTGGGGCGCTTCACCATTTTCTGGGTATCACGGCTACTCGTGATAAGCATGGTTTTTTTTTGTCGCATGCTTCTTACACTCGTGACATCCTTCAACGAGCTAATATGGCCTCATGTAAGTCGTGCACTACACCAGTGGATACGTCCACCAAACTCAGTGCCACTGACGGTGCACTACTCGCTGATGGCACTCTCTATCGTACTCTTGTCGTCGCTCTCCAGTACCTAAGTTTTACATGCCCCGACATTGCCTATGTTTTCCAACAAGTTTATTTATTCATGCATGCTCCGCGCGAGCCCCATTTTCAGTTCATGAAGAAGATTTTTCGGTATCTACAGGGTACCATAGACTATGGTCTTCGGTTGGCTGCATCTTCATCTAACACACTTACTGCCTACTTTGATGCTGACTGGGGCGGTTGTCCTGACTCACGCCAATCCACTTCTGGTTATTGTGTTTTTCTTGGCAACAACCTTGTGTCTTGGTCCTCGAAGCGCCAACCAACGATTTTGCGCTCGAGTGTAGAGGCCGAATACCGTGGTGTTGCTAATGTTGTTTCTGAGACTACCTAACTACGTAATCTCTTACTTGAGCTTCATGTTCCACTAAACAAAGCAACGATTGTTTAATGTGACAATGTATATGTTGTCTATCTGTCACAAAACCCAGTCCAACACCAGCACACCAAACATGTGGAAATTGATATCGACTTTGTGCGTGAAAAAGTTTGTCTTGGTCATGTTCGAGTTCTTCACATTCCTACCTCTATGCAATATGCAGACATCTTCACAACTATTGTAACTAGTTTAATACCCGTCTGGTGGACAGTTGACCGGTTTAATAAAAAATAATTATTATTTTACTAATATATATAAGTTTGTTCTATATCATCATTATGTAATTTGTTACCATGCACTGTACAATATAATGACAAATCTACCAAATAAATAACATATTAATGAAAAATGCATTAAAAGACAATTAAACAAAAAGAATAGCAATCGATTAACACATAATTAAATCAAATTAAGTTAAAAACAAACAAAAGTGAAATCTATTAGCTAATTACTTTAAAGTCGGTTAGGTATATCATCATCTGTTGACTCGTCACACAAGCATGGAAGTCGACGACGCTTCTTTGGTCTTATTGAGGATCCGATACACGATTTTTCAGAAGAATCACCTTCAATATCATCAAAAGACGCCTAATTGTAAAAATACCAACATGACAATAAGAATCATGAGAAGTAAACTTTTGTAACAGAATAGCTAACAATAACAATTGAAGAAAAATTATTTCCATATCGTAAGAAAAATAGAAAATTTAAAAAATATGATGTAACTTACTTGAATCTCTTCACCATCTTGTAAAGTATAGATAGAGACATGCGTGTTACAAATATGATCTTCAATATTATCATGACCAACCTAATTGTAAATAACAATCACATTAATAAGAAACATACCAAATAAACACAATCTAACTTTATATAAGTAATATAAATTAACCCCTATATTATCACTTTCATCTTCTTCTGCTTCTGCATCATTGACATCAGATATACATTTATTAACACCATCATTTTCTTCAGTATCACAAGTATCCTATGTATATTAATACAAATCAAGTTTAATACATATAAACTATAACTTTTACATAACTTAGCACAATATGAAATAATAATTACCATTGTTGATATTGTTGATGGTATAAAATGACTACATGGTCCCCATAACGCTTGGTCTAAGAGCTCCCATTCATATTCAGTGATTTTAGACAAACTTTCATATTCATCTTCGACTATATAATGATCTTCCTCATTTGTTATAACCACCGTACTTTTCTCGATCGTGGGAGAAAGCTTATATCCCTTATCATTATGCTTTTTGTCACTGTAATATTTAGTTACAGCAAAACGATGCACGTAATTTGGCACCATGTTGAATTTGTCAACCTTAATAGTGAAAATGACCTTATGACCACATAAGCTTCCGAGAAGAAAATCTTTCACCCAATTAGGATCACCGGCACCCTAAGAAAACATGACAAACATATTAATATATATAACCCACCCCCCTCCCCCCACACCACACACACACACACACACACACACACACACACACATATATATATATATATATATATATATATATATATATATACACACACACACACAGTTAATATAATTATGTATATAAAAGAAAAAAATGTATATAGAATCAAACCTCTAATAAACTCTTATTAACCAATTCATCAACAGTAAAACTAATAAGAGAAGTAGCAGCTTCATTGAAAACAACACACATAATCTCTTCTCCTTTATCAATTATTCGCACAACCAGTTTATACCTATATACAAAATGTTGATAAGAATAACATATAAAAAGTATTTGAATAAAAAATACTTACGATTGACGAGGGTTATCAACATTTTTCTGACAACTAAAACAATAATAGCGACCATCACGCATAGTAACCTTCTTACGACATGTTCCACATTGGACAAATTTCCAATCATTAAACATATCTATATCGACGATGGTTCCCTCAATAGTATATTGTGTTCCCTTTACAAAGGAAAACCAAAAGTCAATTCGCAAATCACATGGAAGTTTAGTTATAGATATGTATAATAAAATACCTCAACAACACCATCTTGTAAGTAACTATAAACATTTGATAAGTTAGTCACAACGAAGTCCTCAATTTTATTTTGCTCTGAAATAAAGCGTACCGGTTGTGATACACTACAAAACAACAACATGACGTGTAAGATAAATTGATCGACATGTTATATTATGCTTAAAATTTCATGAAAATATGTAAGTAATTACATAAGCTTGAAAAACTCAATCTCCTTGACCGGAAGGTTGAAATACATCTGAAAAGAGAAACTTAGCAAGAAGTGAGAATGACAACTACATTATCCTTATAGCTTCTTATGTCTTCATCATTGTACTGTGTAGCAAGTTTTCCCCATACTGTGACATTAACTTTCATACCCCTACATGTTATTTTAAAAAAAACAACATAATTAATATATAATCTTATAAACTAAATTATTGGAATTAATTGTTTTATAGAACATACGTTTAATCGGATATGACAATTTTACGCATGTCTGAATCATACACACGACCTTTTTGAACTATTTTTTTCTCTAAAACCCCACTCACAAACACGTCCCATAACGTCTAAAAATAGGTATATGTTAGAAACATGTATATCTTTGAATAAGAAAAAGAAATAATTCAATGTTAACCTCATAGATATTTAGAATCATTAACGCGTGAACAAAGCTTGCAGAAAGGAATGAAATTGAAAGAATATCGTTGGAACAACTATGATGAAAGGTGAGAATCTGAAACTAATGTAGCAGGCATGAACTTAATGTATGTATCCTTCTGTAGTGGCCGATAAAAAGTATCGTATGTAAGAACTTCAAAGTTATGTATCTTGTAGACACCTCCTTCTTTGATTTTGTTATTAAATGAGTATATCAATCTATGAGGAATGGTTGCATGGATGCAACAATTCTAAAAATAACGAACAGTTAGACAAAACAGAATCTTTAAACAAATAGTAAATCGGGAAACAATTACATGCACTTTCCACCTATTTGTTATATTAAGACGTAAATCGCTAACCAAACGATAAACAAATTGCATCTTCATCAATGGTTGCCTGCATTTGTAATAATATATATATATATATATATATATATATATATATATATATATATATATATATATATATATATATATATAAGCATGGGTGAATAAGCAGATATGTACAATATTTGTACGGTTCCATATTTCCTTTATACAGAAATCAACCAAATACAAAAAAATGCAAACTCAAACAAAATATAAACAGTTATATAGTAAAATCAACATAATCAAATGATGCAGTTAAAGTTGAATAAAAATTTGCGTAACTTATATGATGATCATAGCCTATTAGGTCAACATTCAGAATGTTTTTTTATATTTACATCATTTTGGACAATTTTTCCCGGTTCCTAATAATGTGGTGTTAGAATGATAACATGAGTTTGTGAAGGTGGAGAGACCATAAGCTGATAACCATAAAATTAAGTGATTGTTAGAATTAAATTTGCATAAAGTACAATACTATTTTTCACAACTTTAAATAACTTCAAAATGACATGATGATTAATGTTTAGAAATGCTTAACTTTTTAAACTACATGATGATTAAAATTACATTTTCCTAAATTACAATGCTATTTTTTACAAAAAAAATACCCCTGTTAATTGCTAGTAACTGTACTTTACAGAAACACCATTTGTCATTTGAGAAAAAATAGGATATTTTTGTTTCACTCAATAAACGTATTTGTAAAAAAACCAAATATACCCTTGTTATAATATGTACTTAATGGAGAACCTAATTGTTAATGAAAGAAAACATGGATTTTTGTCCAAATGTCAAAGGTATAGGTCAATATGTTCTCATATTAGCATTGTACAATGGTAAATCTACACATCTAAAAACATCTAAGGAACTCCTTAATTCTCGTGCCAACCATTATCTCGTAACATCACACATGCTTGGCAAATCCTAGAATAGTTGACAATAACCAAAAAATACAATAATAACCTTTATGCTTAATGCAGAACCTAAATGTCAATGAAAGAAAACTTGGATTTTTTTGTCCAAATGTCAAACCTATAAGTCAATCTGTTATCATATTAGCCCCAATTGGCTGAATTATGTCCCATAAAGTGACATTCATACTAAGATCTTTACTCACATGCCATGGAACAGGAGAAACTTAACATTCCTATGGTCTACATTGTAACATCCCAATAATTCGAGCCAATTTAAAACTTTTTAAATCATATAAAATCATTCAGTTATTACAATTTATTTTCAAAATAGTTTAAACATCAGAGTTCCCAAAAATCATAATCATAAATCGAGGAAGTGTATGGTCACACCTTCGCCTTCCTGCGGTCATCCGCTGAACCTGAAACAATAAACTGAAACTGTAAGCCCGAAAGCTTAGTGAGTTACCCCCAAAATACCCATACACACAACAATACACATACAATAACAAACAACATACTATGGGTCCAATCATCCGTCGGGATGGAATACCCCAGGCCCCTCAACCATCGGGTTGGAATGCCAACATACTATGGGTACAATCAACCATCGGGTTGGAATACCCCAGACCGACAACCATCGGGTTGGAATACCCACCTGCTACGAGTCCAATCATCCCCGGGATGGAATACTCTCGGCCCACAACCAGCGGGTTGGAATGCCCAGACACAATACATATATCACAGATACTATGGGTCCAATCATCCATCGGGATGGAATACCCCAGACCCACAACCATCGGGTTGGAATGTCCACATACTATGAGTCCAATCATCCTCAAGATGGAATACTCACGGCCCACAACCATCGGGTTGGAATGCCCATAACCAATCAAACATATGCACCTATATCAGATAATCATATAAAAGATTATAGAGACAACATACTAGGGTCCTATCATCCTCGGGATGGAATACCCTCAACCACCAATCAATCATGTGCACATATAACAGGTAATCTCCTACCAACATACAAACAGTTAGACCAACTACAGGTCTCTAAGCATAATCACATCCTATCTACCAGGATACCGATCTAACAGAGCATACCAACATATAACCATCCTATCTACCAGGATACCGATCTAACATAGCATACCAACATATAACCATCCTATCTACCAGGATACCGATCTAACATAACATACCAACATATAACCATCCTATCTACCAGGATACCGATCTAACATAGAATAACAATATATAACCATTCTATCTACCAGGATACCGATCTAACATAGCATAACAATATCAATTCCAAATAACAAATCAAAGGGCCAGCCTTGGTGCCTTAGACCCTTGAGTACACCGAGGATAACTCACCTCGCAATGTCAGATCCGAACTGAAGAGTCGAACTCCTGAATCGCCGCCTCACCAATGATCCCGAACTATCCATATAATAAAACCAAGTGATTGAACAACATAACAATCTTGACTAAGGATCCACACAACTCATTAAGTATATTCTCTTTATTGGTTCAAAGTCCAATACCAAGTCCTTGACTTGAAAGTCCTTATGTAAAGCCCATTATTGGCCCAATTTACCAAATTGGGCCCAACTCCCTAATTGGGCCTCAATCCAAGATCCATTATCAAAACTTGGCCCAAATCCAATTATTTAGAGAGTCCAGCAAAGCCCAAACCCATCTAGTCCAAACACAACCAAAAACCCGAAGCCCAAATGACACAAGCCCAACAGAGGAAGTACGCGGGGCGTACTCCTCTGGTACGCTGGGTGTACTCTCTCGATGTTGACCACCATTGGGGTGGTTGACCCAGTACGCTGGGCGTACTAGATTTACGCGGGGCGTACTCGCGACTAAACCAAAACTCTCCTATATGCTTAATGGCTTAAGCAATTAAGTCCATATTTCAGATCCATCGACCAAAAGTGTCTGGGAACCATAAAGTCTCGAACTTTATCACTTAGGACGTCCAGAAAGCTCTTAATCCATTAAGACCTTTCTACTACATGCATGGGACATCTTAAGCCATTGGGACCTCATTTTTACCACTTAAGACCTCAACAAGGGTCTGAAAGGACAGCCCATTTCGTCCAAAACATAACATGCACCATCTTGGGACTTTTAGGACAAGAATGCTTCCATAAAGCTAGAATGACTAGATCTATCTCATACAAGCATAAAGTTCCAAGCTTTTTACCTTCTGGAGCTTCCAAAACAGATGATGAACCAAGATCCACAAGCCAATCTTCCCTCCTTGGCTCCTTGATGCACAAGCTCCTTCTTGAAGGCACCAAAACACACTTATAAGCTCAAGAATGGTCACTAGGAGGCTAGGGTTCTCTCAAGACGGCTGAGGGAGGTGTGGAGGCTAAAAGAGATGAGAGGGTATGGACCATAAGGTGCTTAAATACTCCACAAACCCTAAAAGTTAGGGTTCCATTCTGGCACACGTACGCCAGCGTACTAGGGCGCACCCTAGTACGCTTAGCGTACCATATGTACGCCCGACGTGCTATTTAAGTCTCCAAACTTACCATTTTGCCACTAGGGCCTCCTTTTGCCACTTCCTTCTAAATCAAGGGCCAAAATGACCTAATTAAAATTCGAGGGATGAATTTGGAGCTACTGGAAAAATGGGATGTTACAACTCTCCCACGCTTAAACTAGGCTTCGTCCTCGAAGCCTGCTGCGGCGAACCATTCACGATAATGCTCCCGCATCTTGGACTCTGGCTCCTACGTCTACTCGGATTCTTTCCGATGTTGCCACTGGTTTCCCTACATAATTCAAGTGCTCTCCGACTTGAACATCATCCAGCGATACAACCGCCTACTCATCCAATATGCGCCTTTGCAGCTGCCAAACGTGAAAAGAGATGTGAATCTAACCGAACCTTTCAAAAGGTCTATCCTACATGCCACTTTGCCAACCTAACAAAATCCTGATGATCCAAAGTATCGGAAACCCAACTTTCCCTCTTCCTGAAGCGAACCCCTTTGTGCTGACAGAATAATGCGTCCTTCAGCTCCCAAAATATCATACCAAACCAATCCACTAATAAACACGAACACTCATGCCTGGCCCAATCAGCCTCGGGCTAGAATACCAGGCATGCCTACGACGGGTCCAGTCATCCCTAGGATGGAATACCCTCGTATCCCCACACATGTTTGGCCCATTCAACCCTCGGGTTGGAATACCAAACATATCAGGTCCAATCAATCATAGGGTCCAGTCATCCTCAGGATGGAATACCCTAGATTGGAATACCACTGAATACATAA